CTCCAGCCGGCAGGTCGAAAAGAGAAAGAAAAAAAAAAAAAAAAAGAAGGGGTGAAGAAAGCAGATCGGTGGGTGGGAAGGCTGACGACATTGACGCCCTGAAAACAACACATCGAAACAAAGCCGGCTTTTCTCACAGTTCTCGCCCAAAACCGCAAGTGAGAGACAAGGCAACTGACCAGGGGTGGGGAGAGACAGGTTACCTCATCGAGCACGACTCGTACAATCATTTCCCCATGGGGTGGGGGGAGGGTCACAGGTGGTAGTGGGGGGAGGGGGGGAGAAGAAGACCCAAATCCCTGGCACGCCCTCAGAATTCCGGCCAAACAGAGAGAACTGACTGAAAACAAGCATTGCGCTAATCGACAGTTTGGCGCGTGATGGGTTTACGCTTTGTTGCTTGTTATATGAGAGTGTTTGTTCGAAAACAGAGACGAAAACGGCTGGACGGAAAGTTAAAGGCAAAGATGGAAGAAGAAGCACAAGGGAGCATACACCGAAGGAAGCCGTTGTAGCGGACGCTCATCCTCATCTCACAGCTTCAGATGCAAATGCAACGCAGATACATTCTGTATATTGAATCATCTCCAGCCCACTCTCTTCTCAATTGGTGAAGACGACAAGAATGTGGGGGTTTATGAGCAACAGATGGGGTCCGGAAAAAAGCTGGAATCCGGGGCTCGTCCTGTAAGGGCAGCATGGGGCATCAGCACCGACGTACAGCATGTATGTAAGTGGGAAGCCGTTGATGATCCCCTCGACGATCACCACAAGTCATGGAGATACACCCGTCCAGGAGGCAAATGCCTTCCCTCCACGCTCGGTTCAATCCCATCAGGCTGCTTCTCATCCGTCACGTCCAAATCGTCCAAATGTCGCACAACACATGCCCGCCCATTTAGCCTGCCACGTCCCGTATGCACGTCCTACGTCTTTTTCGCAATCAAAAAAGCAAAAGCAGCCCTATCGAAAATAACGATCCTAATGCACCGGGTGCCAGGTGACGGCGATCCCGCCGCCAATCCATCCCTCAGCGCAGAGAGCCATAGGAGCGCTTCATCACGGGGTCCCAGTTGGCTTTTCCCCAGCGATCGGCTCTGGCCCCTTGGATCCTCGTTGCTTATCCACACCTCTGGGGCTATGACTTCACTTTCATCATCCATCGAGATATGCTCGTTGCAATCGTCCATCAAGAGACAACCGAATAACAATTAATCAACATCAGCATCATCATCAGCGTCGGTGGTATATGTACATATAGTACAGTACTACAGTAATACAACCCCTTTTCATCAAACGACGCAACGATCGCTTCGACCTTGTCCATCTTGGTCCTCACCCCCAACCACCCGGCCAAAACAAGGTATTGCGGGAAAATAGATGCAAGGCACTAATAGAGTGAAGCCGACAAAATGCCCAGCATCTTCATCTCCCCCAGTTTAGCTCAGCTCCGAGCGCCATTCCCCAGCCTACCTATCCTCTAGCGTCTGGGGAAAAAGTCAACGGCGTAGAAAACGTTTTCGTCCCGGCTTCTAGCTGGATCCAGCACACGGCCGAAAGAAACAGAGAGAAGTCACAGAGGAACCTAAAGCTTGACTCCGTTCGCTTTATCTAACCGTAATCGTAGAGGAGGCGCAAAGACAGTCGCGAAAACTAAGCGGTCCTATCTCGTGCTTCGTAAATAGTCTACTACTACTATGTACTATTTGTATGCAGCATGTTTGGCCGGGGAAGCGGAGACAGACGGCCCCCTTTCCCACCAAGATCCATCCTCTGCCTCGTGCAAGGTCAAACGTGTAAGCCGCGTGTGCATTGGCTGCCCTGCGTGTGTGCCTGGGATGGCCTCTCTTCCCTAGACTTGGTGTTTACCATGACTCGCTTGACACGAGACGTGAGGTAAAACTTAATGACGGCTCACTTACAACTTACCATCATCGGCTTCAACTACCGCATCCAAGGAGCCCTGATCATCCTTTCTAGAACAAGCCGCACATGCCAATAGCGTCAAGCCGAGCTCCCAGGCAGCAACGAAGCGAACCAAGTAACAGAAGCCGGCATTTTGTGATATTGACTCGCAGACTTGAAAGCCTATACCTGCGCTACCGAAAATTGCAGAACATTCCGTCCATCCGATTGGGCTCTTTTACATTTGTCTTCTTCATATGTTACATGCTGTGTGTGTACTTCGTGTGTGTATCCCCCCCATGTAGCCTCGATCTTGTAGGCATCTCAACTAAACGAAGCCATCTCGAACACTGGCCATTCGTAGCCTCGACCTGGAAACCCCTTCCGCCTCGTCCCGGATACCCTCCGTCCCTCGAACTAACTACTCGCAGTAGCTTCATCATTCAATCGGCAAAAGCCCAATTCGTCTTTTTCTTTCCTTCATCATCGGCATATAACAAGAACAGACAAGCTAAGCAAATCTACCGTTAATACATAGCTCCCCCATCCCCATCCAAGCCCGAGTCCCCCGATGACGATATCTTCCGGCTTCCAATGCAATTGCCCAACTTGACCGTTCCCAATTCCATCTCGGCAAAAATCAAAACAAATGAAGAATCGTAGAGAGCCAATGACAAGCCCAGTCCCTTCGGCAAAGCACCTGATTACAACCCCGGGAGCTTTCAACCCAACTCGTACATGTAACTCGTGTCCAAAAAAGCATCAAGCCACAAAACCACCAAGGCACACGCAGGTAACGAAAACGATAAGATGGCAACAAAAAGCGAATTTCCGAATTCTTTTACAACCAGTCCACAGATCACACAGCACAACTCTATCCACACTCATTTCGATTCATTCATGATCTTATCATGTTGTATCTCAATGCTCTTAATTTGCTGTTGTGTTCAATCAATTGGAATTCTCCCCCCATTGACATAACCCATCCCATCTTCAACCGCGATACGAAGCTATCAAGCGGATCCCCGGATCCCGGTGCGGTGGCTTAGAGCTCTCCCCTCCATCCCCCCATATCGTCGGAGCAAAAAAGCAAGGAAACGAATTACGAGTACATCAAAGCGCAGACCTTGTAAGATCGAAAAGTCTGGATTCTTCCACTTCTCCCCCCTCTCTCCATGCAAAGATTCAACGACAACCGCCCTGAAGCTCTTCAACCCTCCAACATCTTGTATGTGTGTGTATACGTAGCAGTAGTATCTGTATTCCAATCCCCCCTCCCGCCAATTGGCCAGCCTCATAACTCAATTCTTTCCTTTCTCTCAATCAAGTTCAATCAATCAAATCACCGCAGCCTTGTGGCAATCAATCCCCGTCTTTGACATGTGCTCCCCAATACAATCAAGTTGCATTGCATCTCACTTGAGTCAACCGCGATCCAGAAACCCATAAGGAACAAATCCAACGAATGATACGGCGCCGCCATCACTCAGATCAGCAAAGGGTACCCAGAAACTCCTCCACCAAGCACACCCCGTAGAAAAACCGCAACGCAACACAGTATCACACACTTGGCTTGCTTCCTCTCATCCCGCCCTCTTCGCTGGCCGGCTCACTCGGGATCTACAGTGACCAAAATCCCGCCCGGCTACTGTACCTGTTTCCCGTTCGTCCCAGTTATTACTAGGTAGAACCAAAACTGGGAACTTTGTACCAGCTTGCTCCATCCAACCTGAGGTCCCCCAGTCAATCTTCACAAGCTTTTTCGTTGTTCTTCCACTGCATCTTCATTCCCCTCTCAGAGGAATACTACCTACTATCTCCCCTCTTCACCGCCACGAGCCTCAAAACGTATCCAAGTGGAAACCAAAACAACAAGTCTTCAAGGAACCTGCAGCATGTTGCAATGTGGATAGATGACTCGAAAAAAAACCGGGGACAAAGAGTCAATCCCAAACAACCTACACAGCCCTGTTCACGATATCTGAAGGTACGGAGTAGCATGTATCTGATTAACGCGAAAGAGAAGGAAAAGAAAAACTTTTCATCGTGCGTGCATGCTGCATGTCTCCGAGGTACATCCCTCAAAGTAGCACCGAGCATCCAGCCATTCCACTTCCACCCTCCCGCCTCTCTCCCCTCCCTCCGCCGGCAGTACTCGGTACTTGGCCTTGCTTGTCCTCGACGGCTTGCATGCGCCTCGGAGAAAAGTACCGAGTACCCCCGTCCTGCAACGGTATCGCTTTAGTCAAATCGTCAAGAAATCGTAACCGAAAATCAAATCAACAGCCCATGTCATGCCGCCATCGTCATCCCGACACTTCGCTCCAACTCACAGGGCACATGCGAAGAGCAACTGATGATTGTTTTTCGTCAACATTTATTAATGTTTTTAGTTAAAGCTGTCTATCTAACAGACACCTTTTTTGGTGGTAGTAGAAACCTTTTGGCATCATGTCGTAAGAAGGAAACACATTTTGTAAAAGACCCACGGGAGCTCCTCTTTTCGGCCTCCACTAGCCTTTTAATCGCTTTGCTGCCTTCTTTTTTTTGATCTCCTGTAGGACCAGGTGCAGGGGGTTTTCTTTTGTGGTCCCCGCTCAATGTCTTCGCTGAGAAGTAAGACAAAGGAAATAAGAAAAAGAGAAAAAATAAGGAAAATTTTTCCTGACCAAGGTCGCCCCTGGAGACAACACCCGTCTTCCCAACCAACACTAGAATACACTCGGTTGAAACTCAAAAAAGGTCATCGTGAGCCGTCGAAAGGCTCAATCCATGGTATCATTCGAAAAAGCAACGCCTCGTAAGGTGCGGATGGGTTTTTGTTTTGTAGCTGTCTCAACCAGACATTATGAGACCAATGAAACAAGAAATGAAGATGATGTAAAGGAAGAAAAAAAAAAAAAAAGGTAATGTCGCTTCAGTCATGACGTAGTTCCGTTTCGCCTGTGTGCAGTCCATGTTGCTGCCATGATGGTGTGAAATCGAAACCCCCCAAACGCCAGAATGTTGATTGATATACACGGCCAAGGCACATATGTGGTTTGATTAAGCCTTGGTACGGAGTAGGTCGATCGCAGGTGGACCGGTGATCATGTTTACCAGCCCTTGGAGTGGTAGCCGTTGTTGGCCTCCTTGGTGAAGTACTGGTTCCAGCTGCTCGCGTTGACATCCTCGCTCTGCTTCAAGCACGGCCTCTCTGGGTACTGCTTCAGGTTGGCCACATCGTGCGATGTGTGGCGGCGCTTGAGGACAGCGTTGGCGGTGGACGACTTCTGCTGTCGCTCCCAGAGGAGGTGGCGGCGAAGAGACTCGGTGAGCTCGGTGGCAAGCATGTTGCGGCGGGTGGTGCGGGGAGAGAGCGCAGCCTGAGCGTGGACGTGGTTGGCCGTCGCGGCAATGGGCTGGGCAGTGGATCGGGGAATCTCATTGATGGGCTTGAGTGTTGACTGGCGCATGCCTTTCATCATGAGGGGACCATCGTCGGAGTCGTTGGGCGAGCCAGCCATGGAGGGCCCGTTCATGGCAGACCGTGTCCTGGAGAGAGCCGAAGTGGACTGGGAGGCCTGGTTGCCGAGGTTCATGGCGCGGTCGTTCTGCGCAAGCATCAGGGTGATGAGCGATGGTCGCGACGTCAGGTTAGCCTTGGACGGGACGCGCTGGAAGAACTTCTCATCAACGCTGGGCTTGCCGCTCTCGTCGATGGAGTCCTCCCAGTCAGAGGAGTCGTCATCGTCGTCAATGGCGCTCTCGTCAACGTACTCGCCCTCGGTGTCGGAGTCAATGGCAGACTCGGCATCGAGGTGGTGGGTGATGTTGTTGTTGCTGAACGACGTCTGCTTCGCCGCGGATGGCAGGGCACGGCGGCCGCTGGCGACGGAGCTGTCTTCCTCTGAGGATCCACCAAGCTGGAAGGTGGGCTTCTTGGGGGGAGCCATGAGAGACTTGCGAGCGTCGACGCTCTGCTGGTCACACTCGCTCGACGAGTAAGAGACGCCACCAAGGGAAAACTTGGCGGGCTGCTTCTTGGACTGGACGGGCTTGTGGGCGGGTGATGAGCTGGGTTCGGGAAGGCAGTCGTCGTTGGAGGCGGAGGGCTTGGGAGGGAGGGTGGTTTGGAAGACGGGCAGGTCTTTGGGGGCCGAGGACTCCATCTCGGATGCCAGGGAGACCTCAGAGGGCTGTTCGGAGAAGCGGGATTCGGTGGTGGTAGAGCCAGATCGGGTCATGGACTCGACCGGCTTGCTCAGAGAGGCTTGGGAGGGGGCGGAAAGGGGAGCCTTGTCCTTGACAATGGAGACGACCATCTTCTCAAAGTCGTCGGAGCTGATGTGGCGATCCCGTCGGCTGGCGGAAGAGTCCAGTCGCTGTATCCTGGGGCGGATCTCCAGGGGAGCTGATACGCAGTTGAAGTCGAGAGCGTCCTCGTCCACAAGGGAGTCGACGCTGCCGGAGAGTTGAGGGAGCTCGGGAAGTTTGGCCTCTGAGGGAATGGCTCGGGGCGCTGCGGGGGCTGACAGGACCGGTGATGTCTTGTGGGCGCTGTCGATGAGCTGCTCTCGCTGCCAAAGCCTCCAGCTCAGGTTCTCTAGTCGGCGGCCTTGCTCTACTGAATCGGCACAGCGGGAGAAGACTGGGACACCGCGTGTTAGTCTCGATGCACGGCTGCTCCTCGTTCTCATTGCCTTGTCCTCACCTGTCCACATAGAATACAGATTGGCAGGGTTGCCGGTGTCGACCTTGTGAATGACGTTCGCATCCACTGTTAACACGTGTGTGTCCAGGCGGTAGGGCATCGCTACCGGGTAGAGTTGCTCGAAGGTGTCGAGCGGTGGGTGCGCGATAATGGCGAGCTCAGGGTTGTTGTTGTTGATGTTGTTGTGAAGAGAGCCAAGAAGAGGATGCGGCAGTTGGTCAAATTGCCGGCTAATGATGCTTGGACTCTGGCAATTACCAAATCCAATCGTCTCCGGAAGTGCAGCGCAGCCAATTGACGATGAATCTCGATCGCAGAGAGTGTTTTCGACCAGGCGTTGTGCAAAGGCCGAATGCGTATTTATATGGGTCGTCGGGAGAAGAGGGGGGAGAAGCGGTGCGAGAGGGTTGAGTCGAGGCGGATCGAATGCGGATGACGTGCGACAAGCCGATGATGAACAAGACTCGAGCACAAGCAGACGGTTGAAGCAGTTGAGAGTTGTTGCAAGTTGTTCCCGCTGATTATGGGTATGCGGAGAGATGGAGAATCAAGAAGTCGACGAGAAGCTGGGGAATGAGATCTAGTTATCAAGAGTGAGGTAGGGTGTATCTTGGGCGATGACAGGTTTAAGAAGAGGTGGATAGATGGGGGGGAGTGGCAGAGGGGACGTACCGCCTTCACGCAAGGGCAGGCGCTCGCAGACACGCCCTGGGCGTGCGAGGAAGGGGGCGTGGCGTCAGTGTTGGAGGGGGACGGCCGTACCTGGGTACTTGGGTACCTGGCCGCGGAACCGGTACGTACCCTCGCTCGCACCCTTACCCCCGGCACGGAGCACGGAGGCGCCGCCAGGTGGGCATTTGGGACGAATTGAAGTTGCTGTGGGGGCCCAGCGAGAGCAAGTGCCAGAATGTGCGGATTCCAGGGCAGACGCGCAGGGGCTGCCGCACGCTGAGATGCCAGAAGGGGCCAGGGGAGGGATAAAAGCCCTGGTGTGCTGGTCCGGAGAGGCGCCGCCGCTTCCCCGGAGAGATTAGCGCAGAGCACGGTAATCCAGAGCTTGCCCTAAAGCGGCACTACCTCGGCGTCTCGGTACGAAAGTGTAGCCCGTAAGAGATTAGCAGCTGCGCAGCCGGCTAGTCCTCTTGGGGAACTGCCCATCTGCGCTGCTCTCAGCTCTGTAGCCCTGCCATCCCAGCACCACGTTTGGCCCTGTCGCGACGGACGCAATCATGTGACGGTCCCCTTGGGAGAGATGCCGTTTTGGACGAGGAGACGTCCTTTGGCCCAGATCGAGTGGATACTTCCACATTTGGAATAAAAGTACATAGAGCGAGCAGCACTGTACCTGAATTGGCAGTTGTCTGCCCCTTCAGGCAGTGCTGCGAGCTGCCAAACGGCCCCGTCACGCGCAGCCGCTTTTCTTTTTGCCCATCCCGTGCCCAGCCATGCTCTCGCCCCCGCAAACGGTCCAAGCGCTCCGTTCGCCAGGAGAAACGGTTCCAGGGTCTTTTCCTCCGTTTCGAACAGCTAGACGGATGCCGAATCCGGCCCCATCACCTGAAGCTCGCCCATGGCCTCAATCTTCGTTGCCTTATGATTACATACTTTACATTGAGCGTCTGGCGGCTTTCGGCTGCGGTGGCTGCAAAGGGCCTGCACAGGCACATGCTGGCGGCTCCGGCGTCGTTGCGCTGTCGGCATTCGGGGCGGCTCCCAGAGAGAGGGAACTTTGTCACGCTGGTCTGCACAGACGTGTGACCGGCCATGGCGAGGGCATCGCGCTGGCAGAGGCGAGATTGTCTTAGCAATTCATCTTAACCGCGCGCCGCTGTCGCTCGCCGTCACTGCCTCGTAGTGACTGCGAATGAGCCTTGGAGATTGATGGTACAAGCATTGATAGCCGTTCGTGCGCAGTAGTAGTATGTACACAGCTTGCGGTGCCATCAAAAAGGGCCAATCCACGCTCCTCGACTTGGACCGACGGCTATTCAAAGGGTCCCCCCCTCTTGTCTCTTCTTGTCTCGAGCCGCTCGGCGAATTGAGGTATGGTACTTGTTCACCAAGTAGCCCTCCGCAGCAGCTGCTGTCGCCGTGTACAGCCTCCCAAGTACCGCCCACAAGCTGGGGGGGAGGGGAGAGCCGCCGTGGATGTGACGTGCCCTGACTGGGGGCCAGAAGCCCGTCCGGGGGTGCTCTGATACATATTACTGCTTGACTGACTGGTCCAGCACAACTGGCCAGGTGACCCAGTCCTGCTCGAATCGCCGCTGTCTTTGGTGATCACAGCGCAGAGAAGGCAGGCCGCCGGACAAGGCCCTCTCTGCTTGTCCGGTCGTGGCCTTGTCCCTGCCTTCGCCTCTTGGTCGAGAAAACGGGCCGGATGGCGGCGTTGGTGCTGGCGGACGCCGAGCGAGGCCACGCCGCTGCTTCACTCTGCTGCGCCTGACCCAAAGAGGCCCCCTCCGGGGAGGACTGACTGACTGGCAATTGCTTTCGTCCATGCAGCAGCTTCGGGGAGGATCATGGGGGCAGTCGAAGATGGGTTTGACGATGGCTCTCGTCCTCGTTGCTTCGTACGTGGACCGGTTGCAGAGCCTCTCCCACGCTGCGACAAACTCCTCCTCCATTGCGCTCAGGAGGGGGTGACATTGGGGCCTTGCTCACCCAGTCCCTCGGCGCCAGCGCACCAGCGAAGTGTCTGCGACAGTCGGGTCACCTGTCCTGTCGTCGCCTTCCTGGAGGTTACTCGCACCCAAAGGGGAACCAAAGTACTCTCTACCAAGCACACGCGCACAAGTCTGGCCGTACAAGCCCCTACGAAGCCATGCCGGGACGGGTATCAGTAACGGCAGCTCCTCTCAATGCTCTCGTTCAGGGGGGAGTGCGAGGAGCCAATGCTTTGCAGGGTCCTCCCCGACCCGCCCAGCCATTGGGTCACCAGGACACCCGTCCAGAGCAGAAACAAGCTGCAAGCACCCAGAGCTTGCCAACGCATAGCTCTCCGCCGCATGACCTCAAAGACTTTTTTTTTTTGTTTTTTTGCTCTCTTCCTTGGTCCACGGGCTCTTTGCTCTTGTTGTGTTTTCCTGCCACTGCTGCCTCTTGCAGCTGCTCTCCCTCCTTGATGAAACAAGAATAGGCAGGCCAGGTGCAGCATCCTCTACGACCATTTGTGGCCAATGGCTTTCCCTCCTCTCTCGCATCGGGCATGTTGGCTGCCGCAGCCTTTTGTAACTGGTGATTAAATCTCTCCCCGTCTGCGCTGTTGCTGTGAAGGTATCGTATGTACTTTGTATCGTGAAGGGAGGGGGACAAGTCCGGTAGGGCCAATCAAGGAAGCCGAAAATGGCATCGCCACAAAGTCCCCCAAAGCCTTGTCTTTTCCAATCGGACCCGACTTCAGGAGTCTGGTCAGTCACTCGAGCCAAAAGCAGGCAGCAGTTTAATGCTTCCTTTTCCCCACGGGGTTACTGTATTATAGTCGAAGCTCTAGTGGTGAGACCAATTCTTCCTTCTCCTATCAGTGATCTGTTGGTGTGATCTTACACAGAAATTCCGATGCGGAGCCATATGGAAAACGGAGCATTTGCTCGTATATAGGAGCCCCCGGCGTGTCGCAATGGCGAATTCCATTAAAGAGGCTGATGAGCTTCTCGCCTCGAAACTCTCCAAAATGCTGGGGCAATTCTTCTACTATCGGCTGAAGTCAGCCCTGGCGGATGAGCCCATCGTCCCTATTTTGCCTGTAGTAGCGCTTGAACTTCCCCCTGCCAAAATCAAGGCTTGCGAGCAATAGTAGCTCATGGGGTCGACGATGGGCGCTCCCAGAAATTCGGGCCCGCGGAAGCTCCCCGTCTGCGATTAGCTTCAGCTCTCAAGCCCAGTCCAGAGCAGTTCGAGAGTGATGAGTGAACATTTGGAAGAAGGCAGAGAATCCGGGCGTGTGGAAATTGGACAGGACCAGCAGCCCGGATCGCGATATTGCAATGTCAAACAAAGAAGAAGAAAAAATGACAGAATGCAAAAACCCCCAGACATGTCAAAAAGCAGTAACAGTTAAGCAACTTTTTGCCTTTTACACGGACGGGCACGGAGCAGGCGATGCGTAATGAATCAAGCAAGCCCAAATTTCCCCTTCCCTTTATTATTCTCCCCTTGTCATACTACAACTATGTATTAGTATCCCGGTCCGCCAATTCGTCTCGTCTGCATTATGCGCAACCAAGTCCGTGCGTTTGCTTTTCTTGGTCCGTCCGCTTTGATTCTCTTTTTCTCTTTTGTTTCTGTCTTTTCCTGCTACTGTTTCGGAAGGGCGAAGCGAGGGTCTCCGTTGCAGTTTGTTTTCGAGTTTGCCCTGGGCAAATGGTAGCGGCAATGCAGGTAAGCCGAGCCAGAGCCACAACGAGTATAGAACAGAGGGGAATCGATAGATACCAAGGTATCATGCATAAGGTCTCTACACGGGCTGTCCGCATGAAGAACACGACAGAAAGGCACAAAAAGAGGGGAGGAGAGCTTTTTACACGTCTCACCGCTCGGGCTTTTTCCGCCTTTGTTGATGCTTAAATGCTTTTCTTTTGACCCGACATGGGCGGGGAGTCTTGGTTGAGCAGGAAGGAATCGAGTGCCGGCATTGCAGGCAAGCAAGCATTTGAGGCCGTTGTGTGTCTCTCTTTTACCTTGGGGGTGGCCAGAATCAATGATGGCGATGGCGACGCCCAGGTACGAGGTCTTCCAAGTTAACGTACACGAAGTTCGTATTGCGGAGAGCAAGTCGGCAATTCTGCCACGGGAGAGGACACGCTCCGTGGCGATATCTTCCACCTTGAGGAGAGCAAAACACGATAGAAGCTGAAAGAATTGATGAAGAGAATGGTGATGACGACGAGAAGCAAATGTAACGTGCCCCGGCAAACCGATCCAGGGTGGTGCCTCGCCTTATCGCCAAAAGCCGGCTCATGCTTCATGCTCATGCTCTATCAATAACCGTCCAGGTTCCATGTAGGCCCGCTTTTCGAATCAAGCACGTGTTTTCCCACTTGCATTCATTTCATTACCTCTTCGCACAAGATTACTCATTCACTTTCTTGGCTTCTCAATTCGATCGTTTGCTTTTTATCGACGTTCTTGTCCAACGGCTGCTCTCCGGGGTAAAAAAGCGGGGAAGCGGCAAAACGGTTCACCAACTTTGGCTTCATCTTCTGGGGGAGACGCAAAGACGCGGTGCCCTGCGGCTTATACGGGTTGAGTTTTGCATTGTTTTGTAATCATCATGGAATGATGGAATGGACTGCAAAACGGCTGATGAGAGTAAACCAGGATATATCAAACCAACAGCATCAATGAGCAATTATTGTCTTCAAGCGTAAAAGGCAAAAGGACAAAAACAGACTCATCACAAGGAACAGCATAATGAAAGACATTGCCCTTGCTACAGTACAACGTACAAGCATCAAATTATTCCCAGCGAAGACTCATCCCTGTCTCCAAAGGACGGCCCATTTTCTGTTTCTTTTATTATCATTATAATCATTTTCTCTTTTTCTTTTCTGCGGAGTAATTCTCGTATATTGTGGCTATATCATTTATCAATCGCGCATCGAAATGAAAGAAGCTGGAGGAATCAAAACACCCCCCCCCCTGGTTGACCTGGTCTTGCCAGCCCAGAAACACGGCACCGGGAAGCCGCGCCGGTGCACGATGGCAGCTTGATGCGACAAGCGTACATGATGAAAATCCCCGAGCCTGGGTGCGCTGGGAAATTGTTTCAGCTGCGAGGCCTTGCTTTGCTGCCGCTTATATTAACCTGCAAATATTATATACTCTCCCTCGTCATATGCCGGGGCGTGGAAAGAAGAAAAAAGAAAAAAAGAAAAGAAAAAAGAAAATAACTTCAGCTGCAATACCATGGAGTAAAAAAAAAAGTACGGGGACGGGAAGACAGCATGAAAATGCGGGATACTAGCAGAGAGACAGTGTTGGCGGCGGGGAAGCCGGTAACAGCTTGACGAGGGTCACGAAGCGAGCAACAGTCAGAAACAGCCTTGCCTTGCAGTTGAATAAGTCTACCGCATTTTCTTGTTCACCTTGCAGACTTACACCTGCAACGGCTTCGAATGCCATTGGGTCGTCTATCGTGGGATTTACTGCTACTGACCGATTTTGGTCCCAAGGCCAACTGCCATGCAGGGAGATGCAGGAAGAGACAAGACAAGACGAGACAAGCTTGCTGCCAAGGGAGAGACGCAGTTGCTGATTTGTATCAGCAGAGGAGCGCACGGCGCCACGGGCAGCGGATCGATACCTCATGCGTGTCTCAATCAAAAGACGGCAAGAGAGGATGTATGTATGGGACGGATGAGCGTACTTTTTGCATGCCTCTTGAGATGAGAGCTTGCCTCTGCCGGTTCAGCCACTTTCCGCTCCCGTGACTTTTCGGCCTGCCGTCTAAGCCCATGTGAAGCGGATTCCAGCCAATCACCACAGTCCTGATGAAGAGCAGCTTCGCTTTCAGCTCGTGATGCCTGTAACACGCTGATGAGGGGGGAGAGAGAGAGACGATCAGGTCAGGTCAAGTCAGGTCAGGTCAGCTTCTCATCCGTCTCGTATACCGCAGCCAATGAGTTATACCTAAACCCGGCCGCAACGGCATCAGGAGCGCAATCCTGTGTTCGCTCAACATACGATTCTCCTCTCACTGGAAAGGGGGGAATAGTATGGCCTTTCCCGCATCATGTTCACGCAGTCATGTGTGAGACCCCCGATC